TATATATATATATTTGTTTGTTGCGGTTAGTAGTATCTAACCCACTTACAAAACATCGAATCATAGCATTGATTCTTCATTGGACTGGCTCTGAAAGAGATATCTATCAAATGGTTACCAGGTGTTGCAAACAAGGTTATTGTGACGAAAATACACTTCCTGGTTACAACTATATGAATGAACTGACAAAAGACTACCGGATACGCATGTCTGACGAGCGGTAAGGACCGCGAAACCGGTCGTGTGCTTCCAGGAAAATTTTGTCCAGTCATTCGCATACTCCTTATTATGAAATACACACATATATATATATTTATATATGCAGTTCGATTGCTGCATCGTTTTCGATCGTCTCGTCCCTCTCACCCGTGACCTTAAACAAGTAAATTCCCTCTGACCCTTTCTGTCATCTAATTGGATCATATTCNATCTGCGGCGCTTGAAATTCCTCACCCTAACACGAGACTGTTTGATTACCGGCTTGTACGTTTTCTAATGCTCTTGTTGTTACGTCCATCCGTGTGCTGGTGGCACTCCTGCTGCACAGTCAAAGTTCACTGGGCCTACCTGAGACTAACGGCTGTAAACAAGGTGTGGCTTCTCGCCCGGGTTAGCCGGGCAAGTACCAGGCCCTTGGTTACGGCTGAACCATTCGACTGATAGATAAATGAACCCGATCGGTCGTGTGATTTTCGGGCCGGCACAGGAGGAGGATACGTTCCGTATCCGATGCTGCCTAACCGTTGGTAGAGAATCACCCCAAGAGAATCAGTTGCGGAGCGGTGCGCCATGTGGGAAAATCCGAATGGAAAATGCTCAAGCGATGATGACACTGGGCCAACGCTTGGCTCGTCTAGGATACACGCACTATTTTTCGAAACGGGTTCGATAAACAGATAATCGTTATTATTGTTCTTGTTTTCTGTCTCAATTTCACCGAACCAGATATGGCTGATCCCGCCATCGGAACTTAAGCTTGGTCCGTGTTAATTGTGTGATTTCGTGGGGTGGGATTGGGAGAAGGAGGTGGAGGGCCATGGCAGGTTGAGTGACTTCACACCCTGTTTTTGGGCGCACAAGGCTGGATTATATAGACGAAGTCCAATCGCCTCTGCAGTGGCTAGGATGCGATTTTTAATCGGCTTTGATCTGCAACCCCGAACACAGTAGAGAAGCCGAAATGCTTCAATCAAACTCACTGTGTGATCGGACTCGACGAGTTGTGAAACAATGGCACTTGCAATGGTTTTAATCATACCACTGTTCAGTCAGGCCGGATGATGTTCCCGAACTCGTGTAGATCGGCACCTGCTCGTGCGGCCCATGTACGTTGCTCCACAGGAACTCGTAAACTGGTACACACAAAATGAGACTGCAGAAGCAGGAATCCTGTCTTTGAGTTGCGAACACAAAATCGGTCTGGACGTGAATACGATACGTAATTTTGCCGCGTGAAAAGTGTTCTCCAACGCAGTTCTTAGTTTGCGGCTAACCAATTCTGCGATTGTAACCCCTTGGAATGGGAGAGAAATCTATACTGGCTTCTCTGCGCTTGAAAGTCTTTCCCTCGGACGGTTGTTTCACAAAACGTTCTGGATAGCCATTTTGTAGGAAAATATCACGATTGAATGATAGTTCAACATTTATAGTGTCATCGGTGCATATTTTCACCATCCTGTTAACCAAACACTGAATAAGATTTCTTTTTCGTTTGAATGGTACAAAGCTTCTGAAGTGGATATACTGGCCGCTCCAAGTCAGTTTCCTATAAATCGATCTCTGAATAGAACCATCTGTGCGACGCTTTAGCCAGATGTCGAGAAAACCGATCCAGTCATTAACCTCTTCTGGCAATGTGAACTTGATGTTGGGATGAGTGGAATTAAATATCCTGAGCAAATTGGACACGACGTTACTGACCACAAAACATAATATGTCATCGACATATCGTCTGTACAGCGTACATCGCTTAATCGTGAACTTCAAAATAATATTTTCCAGCTTGAACATGAATAAATCTGCAAATTACACAATTAGCAGGGACCAAGCTTAAGTTCCGATGGCAGGATCAGCCATATCCGGTTTTGTGAAATTGGGACAGGAAACAGTAACAATAATCCTCATTTGAATAATCATTAGTTTTGTTTCCTCTTTTCTATACAAAATGATGTGATATAAAATGTGACGTATTAGCCAGTTGATGAGTCACCGAAAAATAGCTTTTCGCTAAACTTCGTTTTTCCTTCAATGTGTCGCTGGTGTATATATATATATATATATATATATATATATTGCACCACCTTCTTTGCATTATCGATGGTGTTCTGGGCATCTGTCTTTACACAGAGGTTCCATATTTCTGACCTTGGTTTAGGACGTTAGTGGGCAGCTTGTGTTCCCGCAGACAAGTGTATAGTTATTGGCTTGTCTCACCTACATGGTGTTG